TCCTAACTACAGATCAATTGCTTTAAGTGTCTCTTTAACATTCTTGCTGACTGAGTAATTTTATTGCTGTAATACCAGAGTCTGCGTGAAAAAATCCTCTCAAGAACGCTTTGCACTGAAAATTCTTCTCGATCGTCCAAAAGCTAGAAATGAGGTATAGTTTCTGTTTATACTGTCTCCCTTCTGACACGCCGCAACGTCGCGCCCTTCGGGTGAATTGCTGCAATGGTTTAAAAAAAAATAAATACGAGAGTGTTCTGCAGGTCTTGCTGTGCAAGATTCCTCGGGTTTGATCCTCTAGCCTGGCTGTGCTCGGTTCCTAGAGGATGAGGTGGTGGGTGGAACAGGGTCTTCCTTACTCTGAGTTTGCTCAAGTGTGATTTACAGAGCTGCATTTGAAATCTAACCTTCTCCCTGTGTCCCACATAATGTAACATGGACAGTTTGGAACCGATTTTGTTTCCGTATCTCTCACTCTTGGGTGTCACTGCTCTTAAATATGGCCAAGAACGCTTCAAGGTGCACACTAAATGGTCTGGGTTTATCTGTGCACGAGAAGCTAAAGCAGCTCACTGATACTGTTTGTGACTTACTGTGGCTGGCCAGAGCTGCCAAGGTGAAATGATGAAAATGATGAAAAATGAAATGAAAATGATGGGCAGTCGTTCAAGTTGTCATGAAAGTGAGAGAGGCGTTAATTGTCCTCCAGGTTTAGGCAACTTCCATTTCTTGTTACTGAGCAAATTCTCATTTAAAATTCCCAGGGAAAAGTAATCTGTTTACAAAGAGCGTCAAACCTTGACTTGATTTAGCGGTCCAGGCAGCTTTAAACTGGGGAAAATTCTTTAGGTTCCTGTTTCAGAAGGTCGGAACAGGAGATGAGGTTTGACGTGTTGTGAGTGCGAGATCATCGGGCCATAAAAGAAGCCAGGTTATGGAATTTCAGGTCTTATTAGTGAATTTTCAGTTTCAATTGTATCTCTATTGTTACTTTAAAGCTAGTTCTAGCTTTAAATTTATTAAAAAACCCCAAAGAAATCAAAGATTGGGCTTTTTTTTTGGAAACTCTGCTGAGTTTGATGCCACGGTCTGTAGGTTGGCAATATATGATCTTGTTGTCCTACTTGGTCCTACAGCATAATGACTGTTGGTCCTCATATAAACCCTTGTAGGCACTTCTTATTTTCTGAATAATTTTAAATTGGGTGTGACTGGTGCTGAGCACAGCTGGCGGCGCACGGGCTCGCGTGTGCCGTAGTTTTGGGGGCAGAGGGAGGAGCAGAACTGCTCAAGTACGTGTCACTGTCTACAGTAACACTTCTTCCCTTCTCTTCAAGGTACGTCTGCACATGATGTGTGCAACACATCCAAATATTGTTCAAATTATTGAAGTTTATGCTAACAGTGTGCAGTTCCCACATGAATCCAGCCCAAGGTAAGATTGCATAGGGTGATTCATTCCCACAGCTTGCTTTCCATGTTTAGGCCAAGGTATAGTGGAGTTTGCTTTTATTTTAATCACAGTGTGACCAAAATGAATATTGATAGGGTGTTCCAGTTAGGATATTTATACTTCAGACTGAGCAACGCTTACTTTTTCCCTTGTCAATGGCCAGACCTTTGCATATTTAAATGAATTTGCGTCCTTCACTGCTGGTTTTGAATGCATCTTCATTTCTCAGGTTTTTCATTGATTCAGTCTGTGATACCTGTGTTGTCTGAGGGAGTGTATTAGCTTCTAGCTTCTGTCCTGCTTTGATATTGCTTTCGTAGCTCGAATTGCAACCTTTGAGCCTCCTTCTGCTTGCAAAACACTGTCAAAGCAGGACTGGAGCTGCGACTTTTGTAGCTACCTAGAATCCTAAGTGAGATCCTTTTATGTGGTGGTGATGCCTGT